GCGTTGACGAATTTTACAGCTGCCTCCCTAGGTGCTCTCAGGGGTTAGTGTCGTCTTTCTCAGCCAACCCTCCTCTTTTCACATCCGGGCTTGGGACCGGCAAAGGCAGAGTTGAGTTGAGTTGAGTTCTTTTACTTCTGGTAATTTTTTTTTTTTGGGTGTTTTTTTTTTTTTAAAGGTTTAAAGGGGAATGGTTTCGCTAGTATTAGAAAGGACAAAAAGGTCCGTCAACACACCCCAGCACTGCACAGGTTGAGCGATTTGGTGGCACGGCGGCCGGAAGAGAACCTCGGTCCCCCCACTGGTGTAGCAGCCGGGTCCACTCCGGTCTCCTCCTCCGGCACGACTACTACACCAGGGATTATGCGCAGGCGGTGGCTCAGCATCCCAGGGCGGAGATTATGTAATCCTTGGGTTTGGGAACCTAACAAACTGTGGGCGGCCAGCGGTTAGCCGTTTCACCGGGTCTCCTTGAACGCCGCGCCACCACGTCACGCCTGTGCAATCCCGCGGCACTGTTAGAATAGAATAGAATAGAAAATCATTTATTCAAATAAACTTAATTTAAGCACTTTTGAATAGTCATAACAATTTGTTTTTTATCTACCACTCGTTCGGAAAGCTGTCTCATCACAAGAAGAACGAGCAAGAAACTTGTGTGTTGCTCTTTTAAATAATCCTTGTAAGTTTACATTTACAAGTCGAAACGTGTGAATACAAACTACCAACAAGCACTAATTTTTTGGGTCAAATATAATCATGCAATAAGATTAAATCAGTCGTAGTGATAAGAGCAGACCAGTCCCTACAAGCAGCACTCGTTCACGAGTATGACGGATGAGCCAGCCATCACTGCGCTCGACCATATTTTAGGGAGCCCATTGACCCGGCCCACCACGCCGCCACATGTCTGGACATTTTAGTGAGCATGACTACTCATTCCACACGACCACGTCACAGCTACAAAAATTACTATATGGTAGTTACAGTATTCGCACTTTACATAAGGATGCATGCGGCAATCAATACAAAAGCCGCTACGCTATCATATATCAAGAAAGCAGTATGAAAATTAAAATTATAACGTTGTCCGCAAATAAACTTATTCTTGCTATATATTGCTATCATCTATAAATTCATCTATCTTATAATAGGCTTTTTTACATAACATTTGTTTAATATAAGATTTGAATTGCCTCTCTGTAAGATTTAGCGTAGACTCTGGCAGTTTATTATAGAATCTTACGCAATTACCATAAAATGAATTACTAACTTTGTGTAGACGGCATTTAGGTAAAATTAGCTTATTTTTATTGCGTAAGTTTCTACTTGTACAGTCTTTAAGTTTCTTGAAACTATCTAAGTTTTTCCTTGTATACATAATATTTTCATAAATGTACTGTGAGGCAACGGTGAGGATATTTGATTGTTTAAAGCATTGACGTAATGACTCTCTAGAACCCATACCATAAATAGAACGTATGGCTCTCTTTTGTAAAATAAATATAGTATTTATATCGGCAGCTTTACCCCATAGCAGTATGCATACATAGCAGTATGTTGAACACACAGGTCCTCCAATACCAGCACAACCAATCCCCTTGGGGCTCTGGTCACCTTACTGACCACAGGAAAACAGTGCTGTTGTGTAGTGCAAGTACAGCACTGTTTGGCTGTGATATTATGCTTGGTGGAGGTACTACGCCAGTTCGGGCCGCCCCAAGTCGAGCAAAATGTATCAAGATATATCTTGCTATGCCCTCTCTTCTTTAAGAAATATTTGAAATTCAATCATGTGATATTTAGGATAGGTTTAGTTTTTAATTTAATTTAATAAGTACAGTTAATTACAAAATATACAGGGTGTAACGGAAGGGGTATAATAATATAAATAATAATTTAAAAAAAAATCGTTTCAGTCACATCACAGAAATACAAACCATTCTATTCAGCTGCCGGCCAGTAGAAAGTATTTTTTTTTATTCAGAATATTTGTCACACTCTTATCACTATGCCGCCTATTTTCATTTTTTTTTTAGATAATAATAGAATGTCTACTCTGGACAGAACTTTACTCCTTATTACTCCAAAAATATTCTATCCTATTCTTGAAGTAACATTCGATTCAGTAGCCATTCATAGCCATTCTTCAGCTCAGCATCAGCATTCAGCTTCAGCATCTCAACTGGAGCGTTGGGCAATGGCGGTCGGTCCTGTTGACAAATTCGCGAAACAGCATTGGGGAAGATCGCTCTCCCGGACGCCTGCAGACCCGACCTCTCCTGTCACTGCCATGCAGACATCCTGCCCTCGTCAGTGAACAGCACCGACCGCCCATTGCCCAACGCTCCAGTTGAGATGCTCTCGAGCAAACTGTAGCCGTGCTTGCCGGTGCCCTGCAGTCAATTTGGTAGGGATGTGAGATAATGGACAAGAATTGATTTTTTTTTTATTTAACATTAATCGATTATCAACAATCGATTTTATTTAAATGTATCGATTTTTTGGGAAAAGAAAAAAGAAGGGTTTTTTCTATTATTTAGAAATCATTTCATTTTTGAATAATACACCTAAGATAATCTAATTTTTGTCTCAAAGACTAAAATATAAATCAATGAGAAAAAAATTTGCTATAAATGTCTAGTACTGTTATACATTCGACTAGTTTTAAAATACAGCCGACTGACTCAAGTGAAGCTAGGAAGCGACTACTCGCTGAATCAGGAATAAGGACTCAAGCGGCTTCTTAAGGTGTGATATCCATGGTTTCTTGAAAACAATGAATGCAGGTTGCGGAGATGTGTATCGGTTAACTGTTGATAAGCGATTGATAAGGGTTGAAGAGTCACGGGGGTTTTTATAGGGGTACAGGGTAGCGCAACTCGCAAGTAGCGTAGTGAGTAATTTGTCCCATGCGCCATAATTGCTGCAAACGAACATGTTGGTACTTATTTTATTTTATGGTGTTGATGTTATTTTTAAAGCTTCGGTTTCAAGTTATCAAGTATAATAATAATTATAATATTTATTTCAAGAAAAGACATTTCACATGAGACACAATTTTACAAATATAGATCTTAACTTAACTTAACCTATGACAGTTAAACAAAGTGGTCAGTTGTGTTTATTTACAACGGTCTCCGCACTAAGCATGACTTGTATCGCAGGGGCCAGACTATGTTTACCTATTTAGTTGATTTTAGGACAGTCAGTTCTAATACAGTATCCATATAAAATTTAATATTATAAGGTAATTTATTAATTAAAATAAAGTTTAAGTGTGTGTGTGCGTGTATGTGTGTGTCTGTGTGTGCGTTTGGATGTGTTTGTTTATATCTTTGGAGTTATTTATTTTGTGAGAATGGGGATGCTTAGTTTTGTGACTCAATAATGTTCTCCGTTTGCGAGTAGTTAAGTTTTAGAAGCCAGGTCTCTGCAGTTTCCCTAGCCTGACATAATGACATATTATTTTTATATAAATGTTGTATACTTTTATTTAGAACAATGTTTGAATGTAGAGGTAGCGCTTGAGTCGATTTGGTTGCTCGCGAGTCTAGTTAGGTATGCGTCAAATTAAAATGTAAAAAAAAATACTAAAAAAACCGGATATTATTAATCTTCTCCTCCTTCAATATGTGAGATAGCCAATATGAAATTATATCTCCTTCTACTTTATACTTTATATGTATAGCGCCATCTAGCGTCCGGTGAGGAAACGTTTATTCTAGTTGGTTTAAGTCTCTTCATTTACTGTACATATCTGATCCTTATATCAATTCTAATTGATTGATTGATCAATTCTGATCGATTGATTGAATACTTGCCAATGATACTTAATATTACGATTTATTAATCTTGTATTATCGTACATTACTAGTCGGTCACGTTACACAATTCTGTCGACATTTGAGACCCAAACATCACCACTACATACATTTATGTTCAGTGTAACAAGAAAAAAATTAAATAAATAAAATAAAAATAAAAAATACTACAATTATTATGTGCTTGTAACACGGCGGTACATACATATACACATTCGTTGCAGGTCTCTTATCACGTGCTTATAAAATATGTATGTATAATGTATATACATATTTTATAAGCACGTAAGAACCTGCAACGAAACCTCAACTATTTTCTGGTGATACACAAACGACTTGATGTAGAATATTTGTTTTTTTTGTTTGTTATCAGAATGTTGGTTAAATGAAAAATCAATTCCAAACCCTTTGAGTATTTTATTATATTCATCTATAATAATAAAAAAAAAACTGCTTAATCTTTAGCAATTTGTCATTTTATAATTAGCAGATTGCAAATAATTAGTTTGTGGATTTTTTTTTAATTGGTAGCTGATTACAATGAAGCCAATCCTCAATATCAACAAGCGCTTTATTGATTATGTTATTGTTATTAACTGAAAGCTTGTTGTGTGGAACAACGTATCCTATTTGCAGATGTGTCACAGACACACAATTGTTTACTTTGTTACGGGCGATAGAGTCGTTTTATTAAAGAGCCCAAAGAGCTGTTCTTAAAGTGATGTATAGAAAACCGGCTCGCTATTAATCTTGCATAAAATAATAGTTAACTGTAGTGTAGTGCACAGCACACAACCTATTAATATTATAAACGCGAAAGTGTGTGAGTATGGATCGTCCATCGTCCATTTGTTACTCTTTCACGCAAAAACTACTGAACGGATTTTTATGATACTTTATAGTAATATAGCTTATACATCAGAATAACATATGGGCTATAACATTCATGCGGGCGAAACCCTGGGCACAGCTAGTACTTTTTTTTTATGGTATCTGCGCTCTCAGCTCCCAAGACAGAGCTCTGACCTAGTACGGGGACGACTGATAATAGGAATAAAATTTAATCGTAGTAAATAAATATAAATCTATATACATATAAATGTAAATGTTAATCAATAAATATAAATAAACGATTATCAATTAAATGAAAGTCGAGGTTTCTTATAACAATATGTATATTGGGATCGAACTCGAGTCTATGTACAAGGAGAGCGAGGAGCGGGCCCGGCGTCAGAGCGCGACCACCGCCAGCGGCTGCTGCAGGGGCTGCAGGGGCGGCGGGGGCTGCGGGGCGTGCGGGGGCGGCGGGGGCTGCGGGGGCGGCGGGCCGTGCGGGGGCGGCGGGGGCGGCGGGGGCACGTCGTCCAGGTCGAGCGCGGCGTCGATCATGGTGGTGTCGTGCAGCAGCCGCAGCCGCGACGCGCTCAGCCCGCCCGCGCCCACCACGCGCACCTCTGCAACAAGCGACGCGCAGGTGAGCTTCAGCGTCCGCGGAGCCCGGCGGGGCGTGCGGGTGTGCGGGGGAGGGGGGACCCACCTTGCAGCGGCACGGGGTCGAGGTCGAGGCTGCGGTTCATGTAGGCGTGGCGCGCCGCCGCCGGCTCGCCGCTCTCGAACAGGTTGGTGTAGCTGCCGGCGGGCGCGGGCGGCGGCGCGGCCACGTGCGCGGGCGGGGCCACGTGCGCCGCCACGTGCGCCGCCACGTGCGCCGCCACGTGCGCCGCCACGTGCGGGCGGCCCGGCTCCAGGCGCAGGCCGGGCGGAGACTGCTCGTCGTCGGCCGCCAGCACGCCGCGCCTGCGACCACACGCCTGCGTCACACCCGCCCTGATACGGCCACTACTCATACTTCTTTAATTAAAGCGATCGTATCTGGTAAAAGCTAATCAGGTCATTACAGATAAACAAGAAAAAAATAAAGACAGAAACATCTCATATAAACTCGAGTCTGTTACTTCATATTAATACCGTAGAATGTCAAACGATTACCTATAAACATTTATATTGACCTCATCAATATTAGACGCCATTGTTTCTATGCTCGTAAATATTTATAATGACTTGCCGATTGCACGCACCATAATTATGAAATAATAATCTATTATTTTGATTACTAAGTAAATATAAACAGTGCTCGTAATAATAAAGTATTTTAACTGCCATATATATTTATTTATATAAAGATGTGTAATATATTTTTTTTATTGCAGAAGAAATTCATTGAGGATTGTCATATTTTTACGATCGGATGAAGCATTACCATACTTATTTACATTACATTTTAGGCTCACAGCGGTCATGTTTACGGTATACGTGTGTAATAAATGTAATAAAATAAAAAATATGTATATAGTAACCGGTCGATGAGGCTGGGCGCGAGCGGTCCGCACAGCACGTGCCAGCAGTTGGCGCAGGCGTTGCCGCGCGAGTACGGGTTCGGGTTGGAGACGCCGCGCCGCGACGAGAACGAGCCCTTGATGTCCTCGTTGGTGGTCTGGTCGGTGGACGCGAGGTAGGTGTGGAAGCCGGCCAGCCCCAGCACCGACCACACCGACAGGAAGCACACGGCCGCCACCAGCGCGGAGGCGGGGGCGCGGCGCAGCGCGGCGGCCAGCCCCGCGCCCCGCGCCTCCAGCGCCAGGTGCGACACCGCGCACGCGAACACGAACACGGCCAGGAACGACAGCGACACCACGAACGTGTAGAAGTAGCGGTAGTTGCGCCGCCCCACGCAGTTGCCCACCCACGGGCAGTGGTGGTCGAACCGGTCCACGCAGTTGTCGCACAGCGAGCAGTGCGACGCGCGCGGCGGCCGGAACATCTTGCACGTGAAGCAGTACTTGAGCTTGACGGGCAGCCCGCGCACGAGCACCTCCCGCGCGCGCGGCGGCGGCCGGCCGGCGTCCCCGGCGCCCCCCGCGCCCCCCGCACCCCCGGCCACCTCCAGCGCCGCCTCCGCGGGGGCGGCGCGGGGGATGATGCCCGGGTCGGAGAGCGCGGTGCGCAGCAGCGCCGACAGCGTGAAGGCGAACAGCGCCGCGCCCACGGCCGGCACGGCGGCGGAGACGCGCGCGGCCAGGTACGGGCAGTCGAAGGCGAAGTGCAGCGCGCACGTGCCGCAGATGAGCGCCAGCGTGAGCGCGAACACGCCCGGCTGCGGCGCCGTCATGAGCCGGCCGTCGCACCAGAACCGGTTCCGGCCGGCGAACACCTCCCACTTGCGCGTCACGCGCCGCGACGCCATGCCACCATCACCGCGCCCACCCGCCGCCGCCACGCTGCACAGCTGCGCTCTGTGCGGTCCACCGATATTCTCTTATTACCGCCTGTACGTCAATCCAGAGAGAATGAGAATGGGTCCATTACGCCTTTAGATTTACGACCGTTTCATAGTTTTTGTCACTGGCATGGCGACGAGACGTCCACCGGGTGGAAAATGAAAGCGGTCGCCTATAAATAAACATGAAAAGCACAATGATGTCACCCCATCATATCCTCCGTGCCGATTTCACTACTACGTCTCAGCCTATAAACCAGAAGAACACCTCTTAGAAACTAATTAAACAAAGCACAGTAAGAAATAGTAATAGTAGCGTTATGCCACAGGAACAATATATTTATGCAATTAAATAATAAAGACAAGTAATACCATAATGATTAACAATTAAAAAATTACAAACGTTGGTCTGACCTGACTTAAAGTAACGGTACTGTGTACTGAGGCAAGCAGAGTATAATATTTGATACATTTGAAAAACAAATGCAAGGCTAAAACCGAATCAAATTTCAAACATTTTTATATTTGGAGAAAGTGGCAGTCCAGTTCAGTATATAAATCCAATTGAGAAGAACTGGCAAGAAACTCAATTGAATTACTTTTTTTTAAAGGCCAATTATTTACAATGTATAATAAAATATAACATAGATCTAGTTACTTAAAGTAATTTTTTTTTTGGTTCCGTCAGTACACAGATGAGTTAATGTTGTTTTTGTTGATTGCTATTTTACTGCCTCAATGACGCGGCTTGTCCTAAGACATAGACCTCTTTCAATAGACTGTATTTTTCTCTATCCAGCACTTTCCTTCCCCATGTCAGTCTAGTTGATGCTGCCCTTATTATAATCCTCCCACCTGTTTTTCTGTTGCCCTCATTTCCTGTCCTGTCACAGTCGCCATGTGATGACAGGAGCAGTGGGGAGGGTAAACACACACAATAGGGTGTTGTATATTGACTGTTACATCTTGATGTACTCTAGCTAGACTAATTACTAAAACTATATATATATAACAACTGCGTGACATACGTGTCGTTAGATAAAACGTACGCTGGCACAATCTACTATCGAACGTGCTGATTTACATCACTATATCACAATATATTTAATGTAAGTATTAAAAGAATCATGAAATATAAAGAACAAATATAGGTATTTGAAAAAAAAGGAAAAAATGTAGTTATAATACTACTAATATTGCTATTAAAAATATATATTTTTAAAGCGGCATTATAAAAAATTTAAAAACTTGGCCAAAAAGAAACAAAAAATGTTAGAGGTGGACAACCCTTATCACTTAGGAGTATTAAAATAGATAGTAGCTGATTCTCAGGCCTACTGAATATGCATATAAAATTTCATAATAATCAAGCGGTCCGAGGAGTACAGTAACTAACATTGTGACACCACAATTTTATATATAAGATAAACAATCAATGGTGTTCTCAATCAACACTCTCACACTTGCATTTGTTTATCCTTATTAATATTATAAATGCAAAAGTGACTCTGTCTGTCTGTCTCACTTTCATGTCAATAGTACTGAACCAATTTAAATTAAATTTGGAACATAAATAGTTTAGACCCTGAGAATGAACTAAGTTACTTTACTATTAAAAAGTAACTTAGTTACTTTACTAAGTAACTAAGTTACTTTTTAATGCTAAAAAAGGGTTGTAAGGGGTTGAAAGGTTGTGCGGATATATCATCATTTTTAAAGCTTAAAGCTTGAATTTATTTTTTAGGCTGTTGATTAAATAAAAATAAATATTATATTCAGTTTATAAATGTTGGGTTTGGTACAGTGCATATAAAGCTATATATATTTTCCTCTACTCTATATTTTTATTATCTGATAGATTGTTGTATATAATCTTCATTCTATTGCCAATCTAAGTCCCATTCCTCCATATTCAGAGGCATGTTATAGCGATGTCAGTGTCAGATCGTTTTCAGTGTAACCACCACACATTAGTCACCGCAAATCCTAGTAATTAGGCATTTTAAACATCCGTGAAAGATAACCTTTACTACTAGTAAGACAGAATGTCGGAATGGATGAGGAATTCGACTTACTGTGTAAATTATTTCTGTTTTCTTCATGTGACATTATTGACAAAAAATATTTTATTTTCTTATTAACACAATAATATTCACAAAAAACCTTTCTTCTTCAACGAATTACCTATAATGTGTTTAATTGTGCTGATAATCTGTTGTAGTTTTATCTTTTTCCTTTTACCTATACATGAATACAATGAAACTACAATAGCAAAGATTTATCCTTGTCGGGTAAAATAAAATAGGGGATGAAAGTTTGTATAGAAATGTGTCTTTTGTCATCTATTGTATGCAGACGAAGTGGCAGACATAACTGATACATAATTTAACATTTCATTACATTCTCCATGAGTCAGTGTACATTAAGAGCTCACATTCATCTGTAATGGTACACAGCCCGTGTAGTACAATATGAAATAAACTTCATACAACAGTATTATGATATTTCACCCTTGTTATAAGCTGCAAACTCACTCCCAGCCACATTTATGGAATGACTCACAGATGTAGTTAATATAAAACATCTCCTCAGTTAATATATAAAATAATAAAGTAACAGGAAAATAAGTTACGATTTAATAGTTATAAAGCAGAACATTTACAATAAGAGTGGTCTCTAAACAAAAAGTAACACGAAACATTATTTAGTAGACACTTCTAATACTTAGATACACTTTATAAAGAATAAACTCTTTTGTATTTGAAAAATTTAATTGTTACTAAATGAATCTTGAATATCGACTGTCATATTATATTTACGAAGAGTCTTTCCAATTAGGTACTTATAGCGATTACAAAATTCCAAATTATTAGACATCAGAGATCAGAGATAAGGAGTCATCAAAGATTGTATCACAATTTTAATGGTGATTGACTAGTGGACGAAATGTACCAAATTTCATTACCCGAAGTATTTATTACACTTACTGGATCTCGTCGATTTATATCGTCATCAGGCATATCCACAAGCAATCCATTTAAAATCCAAACTAGGAGATTTTAATTATCTGAGTTCGTAGGTGGGGTTTCGGTAGTTATATCGTTTATAATGAAGTGAAATTTCAATAAAGTTGTTATATAACTAAATTAAAGGTATTATTTGATTTAAAAAATACCTAGCTATTTAAGGACAATAAAAGAATTAAATTTGAATAACAAAGCTATGTAAAAGTTTTTCCACAAAACTCAAGTTAACACTCAACTCACTAATACATACACATACACAATTGACAGCACAGATTAGAGAGCAGTGTGAAGTGTGACGTTGGTTGTGATACCTATTTCTCTATGGTGAATAACATCGATATAACGTTCTTGGTAATATAGTTGATGTTTGAACATTTATTAATAATTTTTATAATAATGGTTTCGAAGAAATATTGTAAATGTAATATATACACTATTTTCTAGTTTGCATAAATAATTAATAAAAATACATGTAACAAATATTATATGTTTTGTCGTTATATTTTCTATTTAGCGTAGTCTTTGAGGCCTGAAATAAAAATATATTATTACATATTACGCAAAAGAGAACAAGTTATAACAGAACAAGGTCAAGGGCAAGTCAATGATTGAAATAATTATTAGTGAAAGTTAATTTGTAGCTTTATCTATGGGCTAAATACGTGAATCGTGAGTCGTAACGTGACACGATGTGATCAAATGTTCTATGACAGCACCTCAGCTGTGAATTTGAATGACAAAAGCACAGAGTATTTTATGACATAACCATAGGTTACATATTAGTTAATTTATTTTTTATTATGTTAATTAATATATAAATTTTAAATAATTTAGAAAAATCATTAGACTTTTTGTTTTTATATAAGTGATAATGAATTAAAGAAGCATTCATTTTCAATGTAAAATTTAATTATAATGACATAATAGCATAATAACAACCCCTAAAATCAAATGCTAACTAGATAAGAGAGTGCACACGGTGGCAAGAGTACGTGTGGTGAAATGGGGCTCGAAGGGTCACGTAAGGAAGCGTTGGTGGTGGTAGCACTGTGCCTGGTGTGGTACGCGGTGAGCTCTGCCAGCAACGTGGTGGGCAAACTGGTACTGACGGACTTTCCTTATCCCATGACGGTTACGATGGTGCAGCTGCTGTCCATCGTGGTATACAGCCCGCCAGCATTTGCGATGTGCGGGGTGCGGCGTGAGACAGAGTTCCTGCGGCGCTACTACTGGCGGGTGCTGGTGCCACTCGCCTTTGCAAAATTTTTGACCACAGTTTGTTCCCAGATTTCAATTTGGAAGGTGCCCATTTCTTATGCACACACAGGTGAGGACTGACTTAAACAACATACAATATTTTTTCTGTAGGGGTGTTTGTAAATGTATCCCAAACTAATAGTTAGTAACATTGTGATGCTCACGATACTGAACAGACTTCACAAACAAGCAAATTGTAGGTAGGTTGGACTCCATTTTCCGCAATTGGCCTCTCATTCGGGCCGTTGTGCGTGTAGAAGCAAATTGTAGTGTTAAGTCTTAATAATATTATAAACATGGAAGTTTGTAAGTATGGATGTTTGTTACTCTTTCACGCAAAAACTACTGAATGGATTTTGATTATTTTTTTTTTAATACTGCTTATGCATCAAAATAACACATAGGCTGTATTTTATATTGAAATTTAATGTGGGTGAAACCGCAGGTACAGTTGATAATAATTTTTGAAACAATGTAGTATGAGAAGAGCAACATTTATTTTTTAATTTCTACTTTCTTTCCTGGAGAAAGTGGTTTCTTATTGACTATTGGGTTAGTAATTTGGTATACAACAACACAAATTTTTAACTTTCCTTTGTACTAGATCCCATAATTATATTAAATGTAATTGTAATATTATCATAGATTTATTAACTGAATGAAGGGATATTGTCTTGAAACTGAACTGTTGGAAATAAAAAAATATAATTTTTAGAACCATTTTACAGAAACCGATTTTGATGTATATGTAAATGTGGACATGTAAAATGTATCATTAGTGGATTTATGTACAACATGTTTTACACTTTGTGGATACAAATGGAGTTTAATGTCTATAACTGTCAGCTGATAACTGACCCGTATACATAATAATTAAAGTCCACTGTACTGTTTTAAAGACGCGCCCGTAACTAGCGAATAATGTCCAAGACGACTACTGCGAGCGTATCGCATATGTAAATGGAACCGGCCGCTCCCGCAGTGAAGGCGACGACGCCGCTGTGGACGGCGGCGCTGGCGCGGCTGCTGTTCGGGGAGCGGCAGCCGCGCGGCGTGCAGGCGGCGCTGGTGCTGATCGCGGCGGGCGTGGCCGTCGCCTCCGCCACCGAGCTGCACTTCGACTCGCTCGGGCTGGGCGCCGCGCTGGCGGCGGCCGCGCTGCTCAGCCTGCAGCACCTCTACTCGAAGCGCGTGATGCGCGACACGGGCGCGCACCACCTGCGGCTGCTGCAGGCGCTGAGCCGGCCGGCGCTGCTGCTGTTCCTGCCCGCGTGGGCGTGCAGCGACGGCGCGGCGCTGCGGGCGCGCGGCGGCGCGGCGCCGGCCGAGGCCGCGCTGCTGGCGGCGGACGGCGCGCTGGCCTGGCTGCAGGCCGTGGCGGCCTTCAGCGTGCTGTCGCGGGTGTCGCCGCTCGCCTACGCGGTGGCGTCGGCCGCCAAGCGCGCGGCCGTGGTGGGCGCCTCGCTGCTGGTGCTGCGCAACCCCGCGCCGCCGCTCAACCTGGCCGGCATGGCGCTCGCCGCGCTCGGGGTGCTCGCCTACAACCGCGCCAAGCTGCACGCGCGCGCTCGGCCCGCGCTGCCCGTCTGACGAGCCGGCCCGCGCTGCCCGTCTGACGAGCCGGCCCGCGCTGCCCGTCTGACGAGCCGGCCCGCGCTGCCCGTCTGACGAGCCGGCCCGCGCTGCCCGTCTGACGAGCCGGCCCGCGCTGACTCGGCCGCCCCGAGCCTCCTGTGCGGCTCGGTCGTCCGGCCGTAGAGCGGTGTACGCTAGACTCCGGCCGCGGTGACGCTCGTCGGAGCCCGCAGTGTATCGCCACACCGGTCGATATTTGTAGTTATGTTTTCAGCTTCACTCGAAGGTCAAACCGTCGTATAAAATCGCACTAAATTTTGTTTATTGAATTACATTTGTGCCAATCTTTTTCATTATATAGAGTGAGTATATTCTCAGTCGATTAATTGTAATTTGCCATTTCGTGAACCGCCTAGCTCTGTCGACTTCGTATAAAACTGCCGGCCGGCCGGTGCTCGTCGGCTACCGACCCGCACCACGGTGGAGTGTGTGGCGACAGTTCCTACGATATTCGTATACCTCATTCTTGTCACGCTCAGTCCTCAAGTTTTTAGATTGATTACGTATAATTAATTATTTATTTGCCTGTATTTAAATATTTGTGTGAGGAACATAAAAATAAAATAAATAGAAAGTAAATACTATTTACATGCCTGTGTAACTGAACAACTAATTATAGATACACAAAATGATGTGTTTGGTGCTAAGTTTGTAAATTATTATTTAGGTAGATATTTTGTCTTTGCTCATTACCTATAATTTTTCTATTATAAATGTCAACGTGTGTAAACATGTTAGACTTTTGTTACTCGATCACGTTCAAAGACGCTGGACGACTTTGAATATTTGAGTACGTAGACAGCGTCTAATTATTTTATATTAACATAGTTTTTATTGTAATACATGCGGATATAATTATAGAGTGCTGTTAGTTATGAAATAGACCATTTATTAACGACAGAATTTAATAATGTCATTTATCTGTTGCGTAATCAGTATTTTATTGCCGTCATTCTGTCATTCCTTCAGTTAATGATAATATAATACTGAATATTTACCGGAATGACGTCTTGACATGACGAAAGGCCGCTAAATGTATTATTTGATTGTATAATAAAAGGACCCTCTGACTATGTTATAGCAGAGACAGTTATATTTTATATATTAATATAAAATAAAATATATATTCAATCTGCGCGCAAAACAAAATATTTTTGTTGTTGGTATGAGAGGTGATTCACAATAAAATATAATTCGCATAGAAACTGTAGTACAAGTGCCCAGTTATAATCCAGATGGCGCCGCACCGCGTGTTACCATGATAGTATGAATTTATAATAAAATGTAAATGATCCTGTGAACTTAGCGTGTTCTATTGTATAAAGGCGATTTTGTGTTTATTTCTATGCGACTATATGAAGTATAGTCAGTATCCGTGAAATTTCGTCATTTCCGCCATTTATTTTGATAGGTAAGGTAAAACTTGAATTCATACTTACTATGAATTAGATTCAATCAGGAGATTATACCTATGTCACTACTGAGAAACACTCTGTACTATATTTTTTTAGCAAATATTAAGTAATTTAATTTATAAATACAAAAAGTGCGGCCGAGCCGCTATCAGAATGAATTTATTTTATTAAAATGTAAATATTTTTTTACAATTGTTTTTAAATTAATGTGCAGTTTAATTGATAACGAGACATTAATGTATATACCTATTCCTATAGATACCCTTTTAATCCTCACCTAACAACACGCTCCATGTCCACGAGCCATCAAATTTCAGTTAGTATAAAACTGGGCCGTTAAAGGTAACTCAAATACTGCTGGTTTATCAAATTTGTGTAAGACCACAAAAATTTGCACAAAGAAAATACTGTCGAATTGACAATCCTTCTTTTTTTTTTGAGTTCGTTAAAGGGTATTTGTAATGTGAAACATGCTGTGGGCCCATTTGATGGTAAACGGTTCTGTCGCTGTAGTCTATATATGTACATGAACAGCACTACATTATTATAATACCGTTCATGTGTTGCCATTCCGCACTTAACGCTGTATTTCAACACAAACACAGCTTACAAAGCAAACTGTCTGGCGGTAGAGGTACCTGTGCAAATAAATATTTACAAGATCTAGCTCGGGTAACAATTCAAACAATGTTCAAAATCCATCTAATATTATAAAGCTGAAGAATTTGAACGCGATAATTTGTGGAACTACTGGTCCGAATTGAAAAATTCATTTTGTGTTGGTTACATTTCCATTTGTCGAGGAAGGCTTTAATTCATGTAACATTATGCTACGACCAATAGAAGCGAAGCATCAGTGAAATATGTTGCAAAAACGGCGAAAATTATAAATATTTGAGGGATTCCGTTGCGTGCGCTGCTTAAACGGTTCAAGTTACCCAAAAAATATGTATGAAAGAATGATTCCTCTTTAATTCATCTAAAAAAATGTCCAAAAACAGTATGTCTATCTTTTAAGATTGACTCACTATAACCTTTTTCATGGTTATCAAATTTGGTTGAAATTAATGCATTATTTGCCCAATTATCCTTTGGGCGCGATAGTGTTTTTGATAACCATAGGAACGAAATCCCGGGCACAGCTATTAATTAAATAAAGTAACCCAAAATACTAAGCGAACAGCTATTATTCTAATAGAAACTTGGTCAACCCTCAGGGTGCCCATTGTGCCTTCAGTCTGATTGACGCATTTGGTTGTTGCGCCGCTCAACTTCAAACCTGACGGGTCACGTTTATGACCATAGACAAATTATTTACGAATATCCTAGCTCTGCAATGGACCAATAGACTACTTGACAAGTGACATTTACTTGAAAATTACTGTCATATTTTACATATTCAAGACTAAGCTTAAAGTACTTTTATTAAGTTTCGACTTATTGGACCGATTCGACTTAATATTTACATTTTTGACATTTTGATTAATACAGATACTATTATACAACCGATTAACGGCGGTACATCATATATCTAATTTAAACGTAGTGGTTTTATATTTAATTTAAATACAATTCAAACAACAGCGTCATATATTATTTAGTAATATAATTGTATGAGTAGCGAATTAATTAAAAACAATCTTCGTGAATCTTGTCAAAAAAATAGACAGTACTTATGTTAGGGCGGGCGATATTGCGTTTTAAAAAATATATTTTATTTAATTAAAACAATGAAATTATCAAAGTACAAAATGTATAATTATGTACGATCGAACAAGACTGCCATAAATGCAACAATTAATATGTAAGTTAGGTGTCAGTATTCTTGGTAATTTGCTGTTCCCGGTAGCGGTGTCAGTTTATTGCGCCACACACAGCAAGTATTTGTTCTGTAGGTAAAGGATGTCTCATACGTCGTTGAAAGAAAACAAGGTGTTATAAAATAAATATTTATTTACATTACAACTACTATGGTCGTCATACTCACGACCGTATAAAAAAAAATGCAGTCATTAACGCATAACACTTCATTGCGTACACCCAGCAACACATACAGTCCAACACACATCCTTAGACGGCAATTAGAATACGTCCCACAACTGAGAGCGTAATTATATCAAAACGAGTCTACACTGACTACCGGTACTAAAACAAACAGTCTCGGAATGTTATATCATCTTTATATGTAGTTAACACATCGCAGGTAGGCGAGTCACGAGTCGAGAGGTGTGACGGATGATAAAAAAAAATCGGTTTACGGTCGACTTCTCCGGAAATATATCTAAACTAAATTTTTTCTAAATTCGCTATTATAAGAGTCGGCATTCATCATGGAGTAGCTAAACGTGGGAGTTTCGATTCAAAATCCTATCACATATCTGCGCCGAGATAACGTCATCGATATAAGCTACGTAGAGTTCGCCGGTGGGCGAGCTTAGAGCTCGTCGTGGTCGTCCTCTGCGGGCAGCTCGGTCTCCGCGTCGTCGTCGCCGTGTTGTTGTGTGGGCGGCGGCGGTTGGTCGTCGGGGTCGTCGTCGGCGCGTGCGTCGGGCGGGAGGCCCAGCGACTGCTGCAGCATGCGCTCCACGGACTCCGCGAAGTCCACCGCCTGCCCCTCCTGCAGCATGTAGCCCGACCTGCGGACACGGGCGGCCGTCAGCGAGCGAGGACGCGGGACGCGGCACTGCAGTCGACTGCGGCGGCGCGGCGGCGCGGACTCACCTGATGGCGGCGGTGCGGTACAGCGTGGTGGCGGCCTGCAGCGTGGCCGGCTCGTCGGGCTCCTCCCGCACGCGCCGCAGCAGCTCCAGGATCATCGGGTGCCGCGGGTTGATCTCCAGCATCTTCTTCTGCATCAGGTGGTGCTTGCGCTGCGCGTCGTCGGCCTGCGACGAGAGCGGAGGCGGTTAGAGCCGTGGGCAGTGGGCGGGGTGCGGGGTGCGGGGTGCGGGGGGCGGGGGCTACCTTCTGGTGCGCGTTGGACATGGCGAGGCGCTCCATGTTGCCGGTCCAGCCGAAGGCGGTGGCGGCGAGTGCTGCGGGCGAGCGCTGCAGACGACGGGAGACGCTCGCGCGCGTCACGTGCGCCGACAGCTTCTCCGACAACCACCGCGTCAACGGCTCGAACTGCTTCTTGTACTCCTCCAGGCGCTCCTTCTGCTGGTCGCCTGCGAACGCGATACGTTAAATATATTATACGAGTACTGTCGATCGAATGTGAAGCGAATAGATCTACGAATGAAGTGACGTCGAATTGACATAGAAATTAAAGGTTAGAAATGAAAAAGTAAATATATTAAATATAAATACATTAGCGAGTTCGGGCCCCATTCAGTGGGATAGGTAAAATGGTATAGCAGTGAAGGTGAATGTTCATTCATTAGCAAGGAGCTTCTAAAATCTACATAGAAGTCACGAGTGTCGGGCGCAATTCAAGTTTCTCTCTCTGTAACTAGAACTCGACACCCATACGATGCTTTCATAAAATGGATAGAATCCTAATAGAAAGGGAATACAACGACCGAGCTACTACAGTTCTAGCCGAACGCCGAAGGCGACGACGAAACGGACGAATGCGGTACTCACTCTCTTCGAGGTCGAAGATCTCCTTGGCGATGTTCTGGAACTTCTTGCCGTCGTACTCGGGCAGCGAGGAGAGGCAGTACTCGTCGACGGCCTCGGTGAGGTAGAGGACCTCGTATCCGCGCCGCACGAGGCGCTCGGCGAAGGGCGAGCGCTCCACCTCGGCGCGGCTGGCGCCGGCGATGTAGTAGATGTGGCCCTGGCCCGCCACCATGCGGGACACGTACTCCGACAGCGACGTCATCTCCGACGAGCGCGACGAGTGGAAGCGCAGCAGCTTGGCCAGCCGCGACCGGTTGCTGGGGTCCTCCATCACGCCCAGCTTCACGCTGAAACATCACCACACGAGGCTCCGTTATAGCGCTCCGTGCCTCGCCTCCCGCGTCACCGGTCACCTACTACGGCTACACTCACTTGGTGGAGTACTCCTTCCAGAAGTGCTCGTACTCGTCCTCCGGTATCTTCTTCAGCATGTCCAGAGCCTTGCGCACCAGCTTCTTCTTTATGATCTTGACCAGCTTGTGCTGCTGCAGAGTCTCGCGGCTGACGTTCAGCGGCAGATCATCGCTATCCACGATACCCTTGAACGGAATAAAATCAATATTATTTTATATGCTGTCTATAGACACCATTTTCTAATGACATCATTTTATCAGATTACACCGGCCCATCTCGGCGTCACACAAATGGATATCATTTCCATTTTGGAATGTAAAATTTATTTAAATTTCAATAAAAATCCTTATTTATTCTAGTAGTAATCATAAGTGTACCTGTATGAAGGCGAGGTAGTTGGGCATGAGCTCGTTGAACTCGTCGGTAATGAAGACGCGGCGCACGTAGAGCTTGATGTGGTCGGTCTTGGTCCCGTAGCGGTTGAAACTGTCGGCCGGCTGCACGCGCGGCACGAACAACAACGCACGGAACGTCACCTCGCCCTCCGCAATGAAGTGAGCCCTGCACCACAAACAAAACACTAGAGAAACAACAGCAGTGAGCCCTGCACCACACACAACACTAGAGAAACAACAGCAGTGAGCCCTGCACCACACACGACACTAGAGAAACAACAGCAGTGAGCCCTGCACCACACACGACACTAGAGAAACAACAGCAGTGAGTCATGCACCACACACGACACTAGAGAGACAACAGCAGTGAGCCCTGCACCACACACGACACTAGAGAAACAACAGCAGTGAGCCCTGCACCACACACGACACTGGAGAAACAACAGCAGTGAGCCCTGCACCACACACGACACTAGAGAAACAACAGCAGTGAGCCCTGCACCACACACGACACTAGAGAAACAACAGCAGTGAGCCCTGCACCACACACAACACTAGAGAAACAACAGCAGTGAGCCCTGCACCACACACAACACTAGAGAAACAACAGCAGTGAGCCCTGCACCACACACGACACTAGAGAAACAACAGCAGTGAGCCCTGCACCCACACGACACTAGAGAAACAACAGCAGTGAGTCATGCACCACACACGACACTAGAGAGACAACAGCAGTGAGCCCTGCACCACACACAACACTAGAGAAACAACAGCAGTGAGCCCTGCACCACACACGACACTAGAGAAACAACAGCAGTGAGCCCTGCACCACACACGACACTAGAGAAACAACAGCAGTGAGCCCTGCACCACACACGACACTAGAGAAACAACAGCAGTGAGCCCTGCACCACACACGACACTAGAGAAACAACAGCAGTGAGCCCTGCACCACACACGACACTAGAGAAACAACAGCAGTGAGCCCTGCACCACACACGACACTAGAGAAACAACAGCAGTGAGCCCTGCACCACACACGACACTAGAGAAACAACAGCAGTGAGCCCTGCACCACACACGACACTAGAGAAACAACAGCAGTGAGCCCTGCACCACACACGACACTAGAGAAACAACAGCAGTGAGCCCTGCACCACACACGACACACGGGTAATAAGTACCTATGTTGTCCTATATCAAGAAATGCTGTTGAGTTTGATTATCTTATCTACACTAATACAATAAAGAGACTACTGTTCAGTACAGGTAGCAATTTAGTAAATTATTTAACCATTTGAAACAGTTTTGTACACAGACAGCATATAAATATATTGCTTGAAATTTCAATTTGGTGGAGATGGGTCACTAGTGTCGCACCAAGACATTTTCACATTAGAAATCCATACTAATGCAGATGCGTTAGTATAGATGCATATGCATGTATGACTGTCAGTCTGTTTGTGAATATTTCACAACTACTATAAATGGCATAATAATTCTTAATGACCATTTGAAGATATATTATTACATGAGGACTGAAACAGATTCTATATTATATCAAAAACAATAAGTCGTGAGGAACATCCAGTATGTAATAATGGAGGTACAAACTTGGCGAGAGGTTGCGTGCTGTCCTTGGTGAGACTCTTGTAGAACTGCGTGTACTCCTCCTCCTGCACGTCGCTGGGCTTGCGCGTCCATATTGGCTTGTTGTCATTCATCAGCTCCCAGTCCCACACTGTCTTCTCTGTTTTCTTTGTCTCCTTTTTCTCGTCGGTCGCATCTTCCACCTACAATAGTAATAAATAGCACATGAACCGCACATCCTACAACAATTTCCTTATCTATTTTAATAAATTATTTTTGGGGATATTATAGGTATTGTATCACTAAATAAAACTTTGGTTTGAGTATCTATTGCATGTTCGAATAATTGATACTTTAAGTCATGCAGCAAATGATGTCTCTTATTCTGTAATTTATCTACTTTTCTCTCCCTTCAAACCAACCATGCATCTTACAAAACAATCTGCTGGCAGCTAAGATAAGTGAGACTCATTATCGAACTTTGTAATAAATATATGAGTACAATAATTTTATAAAAGGCTAACTACACTTTTCACGAAAAATGGCTGCTTTATTATATACAAAGGTAAAATAACACTCTGTTTACATAGACTTTATATTTTTTTGATACTACAATAAATAAATAAGCAAAATATAAAGCATGGAACATTACTTGGGCATCGTCGTCTGCGTCGGCCTGGTCTGCGTCTGCGTCTGTGTCGGCCTCCTCCACGGTCTCCGTATGAGACGCCCACAGGTAAATGGGGAAGTGTGTGTGTGTGTGTGTGTGTGTGTGTGTGTGTGTGTGTGTGTGGTGTGTATGTGTATGTATGTGTGTGTGTGTGTGTGGTGTGTGTGTGTGTGTGTGTGTGTGTGTGTGTGTGTGTGTGTGTGTGGTGTGTGTGTGTGTGTGTGTGTGTGTGTGTGGTGTGTGTGTGTGTGTGGTGTGTGGCCGTACGTGATGTGCGTGCCGCGCCGCAGCGTGTCTCCGCGCGGATCCTCTGCGACGCTGAAGGAGTTGGCGTCGGACTCCCACACGTGCTGCTTGTCGTCGTTGTGCTTCGACACCACCGTCACCTTGTCCGCCACCAGGAACGCAGAGTAGAACCCCACGCCGAACTGACCGATCATGTCGTTCATCTCCTGGGTATTGCTCTGTGAATTATATATTATCATTAGAGCACGTTTTAACGTAGAGCCACATCACGATTTATTTAATTGTATAAGATTTACATCACATATCAAAACAAAATTATAAAATATTTAGAGAACATATAGTTGTTTATCGACAATTATAGCTAATTTAACAGATCACATCTATGATTAGACTACCTTTTCCGGGTCCTGCATCTTGGAGAGGAAATCGGCTGTGCCCGATTTTGCGATGGTGCCGAGGTTGTTGACGAGGTCGTGTCGCGTCATGCCGAGCCCCGAGTCGATGATGTGCAGCAGCCTGTTCTCCTGGTCCGCCTTGATGCGGATGCTCATGTCTTTGTTGGCTGCCAGCACGTCGCTGTTGGTGAGCGACATCAACCGGATTTTGTCCAGGGCGTCGGACCCGTTAGATATCAGCTCACGAAGGAAAATCTACGCAGTACAAATTAATATATCGTTTTATACTACTATAATTCACAACAATGTACGAGTTACGCAGTAGTGGGTGGGACGGCACCTCTTTGTTCCTGTAGAGCGA